TTCCAGCCTTTGCTCAGATCCAGCCGCACCAGCTGCTGCAGCAGCACAAGCAGCCGCAGTTTGTGATTCAGTCGCAGCCTCACCAGCGGAGTCCAGCTCAGGCACACCTCCAAGCCCAGGCAGTGCAGGCGCTGGCCCTGCAGCCTGCTGTGGCGGCCCCCCCCCAGGGCCCCGTCCCTGTGCTCCCCAAGCCGCCACTGCCGGCCCTGCAGGCCGCCGTCTTTCACTCCACCGTCGGCACCCAGGCTCTCGCCCAAAGCAGCCAGACCCCAACAGTGAGCCCAGCCAGCCAGCCGACAGCCCAGCCTGTGCAGCTGACAGCGGTCAACCTCCAGACTCTGCCGGTGCCGAGCCCGGTACCAGCAAACCTCGCCTCACCTCCAGAACAAATTCTCAAACGTGGCCCTTTGTAGCCACTGAATATGTGGACTATACTTCCAGCTGAACTGTGAAATATTTTGATTTCATTCATCCGTCCACTGTCACCTGACATGATTTCCTGATATCTTTGGACTCTTAAGAAAGCTCATATAAAAGAAGTTTTATAAGTTTTGGCCTTTAACGTAATGAGTACACCAAATGTAGTAAGGATTATATACTTTATTACACCATGGAATAGCATGCAACTCCATACCAGCTAAGTAGCCATGATATTAATCATATTTTACTCAATGTTTAACAAACAAGCATGTTTCACTATTTATATGCATCACCTATATCTCATAATACTTTTCCTAAGGATTAATAACTTGTAAGTTTTAGCAAACTACTTTTTTGTATAAACTGACCCATTTCCTTGGCTGCTTCAGGCTGTTCAGCCAAAGCAGGACGACAGCAGCAAAGAGCAGCTGGCCGCTCCGGAGCCTCGTGCCCAGATACCCACAACTCCTCCCCAGCCCCTGGAAACCACAACGGAGCAGAACAGGCCGGAGCCTAACGGACCCGCGCTCCAGGCAGAAGGTACCGTATCAGGCTCACTCTGAGGCAGACAGCCTCGGAGGCAGGTGTTCCTGTCTGCCTGATTTATTCAGTTAGGGGTCAGAAGAAAAAAAAAATTTGCGTGATCTATGTTTGCTGAACATCAGCAGGTAGATGCTTGGTTACTGATGGTGCCTTTAACTGAACTTCTAATGTGGAAAAAAAACAGCAGAGTGTGCCAGATGGATCTGGGTAGTTGAGTACAGACTTGCTTTCACATTACTGCCATCTGCAGGCCAACCAGAAATGCCCTTTCTATACCCCCCCAGGTCCAAACTGGTATTGGCATGGCTTTAGTCTGAAACCTAAACTCTTTATACGCAACTAGTTGGTTGAAGCAAAATCTTGTTCTCGGAATTTGTATTTCTGAACCTGAACTTTCTTCCTCTGTATTTAGCATTTAATTACATCAGGGGTGGCCAACCTTATGCAAAAAAGGCTGGTGTGTGGGCGGGTTTTTGCTGCAACTTCCTAATTAGATTACTAATTAGAGGACTGATTGGCTGAAGAGTCCTCACACCTGGGTTTGAACAGGTGACCTAAAAGTTATCCCAAAAACCTGCACACACACTAGCCTTTGCAGATAAGTTTGCCGCCCCCCCCCCCTCTGGAATTACACCTAAACCATCCAAATGATACAATAACTTTATTCTTTTAATGAACAAGATGTGCTTCTAATCCACTAAGACCCCCACTGACCTTCTAAAGCTGTGTACTAACCAATATGATTCTAACAACAACACAGTTCTCGAGTCTCAGGTATATTGAGTGAAGCTATTTGTCTTACCTTACGGTCAGTAGTGGAGTTTCTCCATCGGCAAAAGGTGTACTGGCTTCTTGCACATCCGGTGTGTTGGTGTTGAATGGTTCCTCTTAGTTCATCTTGCATTAACTTGGGCAATGGACCCAGAATGTAGGAGCGTGACATTGAGATGTGTCTAAACGAAGTTCGTGTGGTTTGGAATTCCTGCCTCTCAAGGAGAATCCAGTTCCTTGGCCGTACTTCAGCAAACCTAGAGCCCTGTGATCCATCTGCAGGGCTTACTGCTGTGGTTCCATTAGCATCTCTGCCTCATCTTCTCCACGGCCTGGCTGAACATCCCCCACCGTCCCGCCTGCCCCGAGCCTTAGACTGAAAGGCTGACTCACTTCATGGAGTTATATTGCCATACATCCTATGGTAATGTCACTCTGTTATTGTTCCTCGGACAACCAGGAGCATTTATCCATCTGCCAATCTAGAAATTGTTCATGCTATACTAAAGGCAAAAGCTGTTTACCAGGGTTCATTATGCAAGCAATGTAATTGGAGCAGGAGATGGCTATACAAAGGCCATTTCAGAACAGTCAATTTTATTTATTTAAAGCAGGAGCTGTAGCCTTTTCTGCAGACCACAAGATAAAACTGGGACGTACCAAGTTGCAAAATTTGCATGAGGGCAACTAATCTGATCCACAGTGCAGCGTGAATTATGTTTTAGAACAGTATAATTCTTTATGCCACATTAACCATGCGTGTCTTTTGGGGTAAGAGTATCTCCTTTACACGTAGATCTAGCGCATATACTGCAGGATGCTCAGTGTTGAGATGCTGCGGAGAGTTTGTGCTGTTTTCTTCCATCTGTGAAGTTCGCTTAATAAGTGTCCTAAATTAGCCTTCGCATTGAGCAAAGCATTACGTGCTTCTGTTTAAAACGAGACACAAATGCCTTGGAGTGTATTTGCAATTAAGCCAGTAAGCTCCTTCTCTTTTAATACAGCTGAATAAGTCATCTGGGTAAGAAAGGCGGGGGGCTCGATTAAGCACCGAGTGGGGGAAATGTAATAAGGTTCAAATACAACGAAGATGTTGGTGTGCACTGGAAAAAAAATACAGCGAGAAATGCTTTTTAACGGGACATGACTAAACCTGGCTTGTGTGGATTTAACGTGATATTTGGCTCCTATAATGTAATAACAATCCTTTATTAATTTATTATTTGAAACGTTCGGAAATCACAGCACATTTAATAATAGGCAATTAAATTTTAAAGAATGCAAACGTCTATACCTGTAAGCAATTTCTTTACAAATAAGACTTACGAAACAAACCGCCGTTGGGGAGTCGTGTATTGTAACACGTAGAACGGCGGCACTTCGGTTCTAAATTTAAACCAAGAATCTCGACACTGAAGCCTTAAACTGTAATTCTTGAAAACTTCAACAACCAGCTTTTATATCTAAAAGGAATTCAGTACAAGTCAAACAAACAAAAAAATGTAAGTTCTGAGAAATTAAAATACAGTAAAAAGCGTCTAGTATTTGTGGAACCGCATCTTTAGCCGAAGTGGAAAAAGCTCCTCTTAGGTCGGGGCTCCCAGTGCCCTCGCCGGCCAATCGCAGAGCAGGCTCGCGGCCACGCCGCGTCCTCATTGGACAGAATTCCAGGAGCGGCGGGTCAGTAGCCAGGACGGGCTCTTTCCTATTCAGTTCCCCTGTACAAAGCGTGTTAGTGTCGTGCTGCTAACTCGTGCGGGGGTGGACCGAGTCGAACAAACAACAAATTCACTGGGAAAGTTTCTGAGAGATTCACTTTCATTTCCCTACCACAATTGGCCTAATATATGAGGTAGGTCTCATCCGCGGAGTCCGTAAAAGGCTTAGTTTAGATCGGCAGATGTTTTTTAATACATTAAATACACAATCCTTAAAGGGAAATGGTTGGAGGAAACAAAGGCGTGTGCTTCCCTGTACTGTTGACTATTGTCAGCAAGACCCCACTACGTTTGGAGGCGCCTAAATTTCTTTGGGATTTTTACTTTACTTTCAAAAACGTATGACCTAACCCAATCACCATGCTTATTTACATTTACTAAACTAATTTAAAACCTTCTTTAGACAGATTTTTTTACTTTTGCATACTACTGGCTGATTAGCGGCAAAGAAAGGTAGCCAGCTAGCCTGCGTTAAACAGCAACAGCACAGATTAGTTATGGCTCCGCGTGTTTAATTTTGTGATGATGTTTTCATGGCAGCTGTTTAGATTGAGTGTTCGTGCATCAAATGCAGGCATTTTTTTCACGGCCAGTGCACTCATTTAGGGGATTTCTTATCATTATGAGTGGTTGTATTCTGGAGCACCTTTAACTGTGAGTATAGGGAGCCGCGCGCCGCCCCTTGAATGTCTGCGCCGGACGCGCGTGCTACCCGGGTGAGTAAACAAACCGCGCACTCGGGGCTTTGCTGCACCTCGCGTGTCGCTTACGGTCCCGCTTGTTTTAATTTTCGGTGATCCTGCACGGTGCAAACAAAAAAAAATAAAACGCCCGAGGTGCATGTTACCAACATTAGTGGAAGCGTTGCATTTGTCACTTCGACTTTCTTTAACGTGCGCTCGGGAAGTTTCCTAAATAGATAAAAAAGAAAGCCGAGGGGGCGGGGAGAAATTAATATTGAGCCCCCGATTTGTAGCGACGGTTATGTTTTGATGTGCTCCGCAGGTACCGCTGCCGGTGACAGGGTGAATGCGCATCCAGGTGTGGGCTCTCCTCTAGCCATGACCTCGGGAAATGGAAGCAATGCGCCGTCTGTGACTGGGAGCACGCCCCAGAATGCGGAGAACAAGCCCCCCCAGGCCATAGTGAAACCCCAGATCCTCACCCACCTCATCGAAGGCTTCGTCATCCAGGAGGGAGCCGAGCCCTTTCCCGTGAGTCTGTCCAGTTACCCACTCCACAACCCTAGCTTGCTCCCACTGCCGAATGCCACTGTTAATAAAGACGGAATGGTTTTCAGTCATTTAGCTGAAGGTTTACTCTCCTATATGTCCAATGCCGCATTTAATGCATGGGCTCATTCTAGACAAGGGCATATTTTGGTTTATTCTTAGTTGTCTGTTTTCTATGATTTGAAGTCATGGAAAAAGTTTTCATTTCTGAAAGACAAATGTGGAAAAGACTCCCCATTATAATTTATTTGCACATTGTTTTGTTAACATGTTTGGAATTGCAAAAGCCCACTAGACCAGTACAGAATATCGGTGCCAGTTCATCTGAAGGATAATGTAAAAATAATTTCATTCCACTCAATGAAAATCTTCATGTGTTGACTGAACACGGTCCTGCCGCGATCACACACACTGAGCACGCAAGTACATTGTCATACAGTAAGTGAGGCACCACTGAACCTCATGAACACAGAATGCATGCTGACACGGGCCTGTCCATGACTTTGTTGTGTGGCTGGATCCCTCTGATGAAGATAAGCTGTCTAATTTCAGTAGGACAGTAAATGAAACAGAGGTAAGAGCACCTCTTCATAGCAGAAGCTGTCTTGCTGTATCTCCTGCTAACTTTCCTTTGGTGATTGTAGCTGACCATTATCTTTCTCAGGCTCTTCTATCTGCTCATACAATGTGCACTTTACCTTTTGTTTCAACATGGTGATGGGTCACTTTAAGATGGAGCGGGCGGAGGCAGGGGGTGGGGGGTGGGTACACTGCCCAGTCCAGGCAGCTGCCCGCAATGCCCCTTGATTCTGTGAAAAGAATATTGTGCTGCTATTGAGGATGGCTTGGCAGCAGAAATGATCCTCTTTGTAGTTGTTCATCCTCCCTTGCCAGTGTGAGAATGACTGGAGAGAGAGAGATCGCAACGCTGTAAACTTGGTACCATGGAGCCGCTGTAGGTCTGCAGTGGTTAGAAATGTGTGCTGGCGGTCTTCAATATGTGTGCCGGCGGTCTTCAATTTGGCCGCCTGATAGGTGAGGAAGACACCAGTGGAGGAAGGTCTTTCTAGAAAGCGCCATGAGTATTATGATGCCTGTGACACATAACTCGTGGGGCCCTGTGGAAAATGCGATGATATGGGTGGGATGACCAGCTTTGGAGAAGCCTGCAAATCACTTTTCATATGCCGCCCTTGGTGGCCTGTGTCGGGGGGGCGGGGGGTTGTTTTGCTGCTTACTTAGAGAGCAGATGTCCCAACACAAATTTGGGTTTGTGGATCTGGATTTCTTGCACTTTGGAGTTTGGTGATTTTAGTTCCCTGCCATATAACAAACGGACCCTTGGAGAGCATTTGAATAAAACTCTCCATTTAGAGGTCGGTTCTTGTGGTGTATAAATCTTCAGGATCCACCCCTGTTCCCCGCTAAGAACCGAAGAAGTGGTCTTTCCATAGACCAAAGCACTCTTCAGAAGTGCTGATACAGGGAGCACAGGTGATTAATTGTGTTAATGGACTGAATAAACTTAGGCCCGGCAGTGTTTTCCTCCCCTGGTTCCGGAAACCCCCAGGGTACTGATTGCACCACCAGCTTCACAAAAAGCTTGTCAGATGTTCTGAGCAGCAAATATGGAAACCCTGGCAGGTCTTCCTGCTGTCTTTATTTCTTGAAGATAGAAGGTTGCTTTTCAGCTACCTGAATTTCCACAGGTGGTCTGTTTGTTGCTTGCAGGACTGACAAACGAAAAACCAAAAGCTCGTCTAAACTGCAGTTCTGAGTTTTTTTTTCTTGTTTATAGCTTTCTAATTTGTCTACAATTAGCAGCTTGCAAATGACTCATGTCACCAAGTGTTTTTGATTATTTTGAAATTTGAAACGTGAAACACTCATTTTAAAGCTAAAGCTACAAGCTGATTTTGGTCAGAGGTGCTTCCCATGCCCTTATAATGGGCACTGAAAATGTGCTTGCATTCTTATGTTCCAGTGTGTGGTAAGACCATAGCAGCCCTGCTGCAACACTGGAAGCAACAGGTGCATGTTCCTCTGTGCCGTCAACATGTGCAGGGGTAATCTGAGAGCCGCCCACACTGCTGTCACATGATCGATAGGGACCAGTCACAGCGGACGCAGGGTCATAGAGAGTCTGCAGCCCGTCCCGGGAAGCACAGGATACACAAATGTTCAATAATGTTACCCGCTGAGCCACTGTGTCTCCTGTCTCTTTCCAGTGCTGGACCGTACCCCATCCCTGAAAGTTTGCTGAATCTAGTATCATATTGTTGTTGTTGAATAGATCCTACTGCTGTGGTTGTCATAAATAGAAACCTGCAATGTAATAGGAGCCTGCGTTTTAAACGGTTCCTCAGTCGAGAACCTGAGATGTGCAGCCAGCAGAGCAGCAGCAAGGTCTAAATGAAAGCTGCTGCACTCGCAATAAATCCTGCAAGTGGGCTGGCAGAGAGGCCGCTCGCAGGTGGCAGTCGCACGCGCTGCAGCCCATGTGTGGTGGAGCGAGGCGTGACCCAAGTCCCCCCACCCACATCCGCAGGTCGAGAGGCCGTCACTGCTGATCGAGAACCTGAAGAAGCAGAAGCAGCAGTCGCAGCCTGACCTCGACAACCAGCAGGAGGCGCTGTTGAGCGAGGCGCCCGGTAGCCCCGATTGCAACATGGAGACTCTGCCACAGCAAGGTAAGCACCCGGGCCAGGCTGGTTTAACCTCTCAAGGCGCTCCGGTAACGCCCAAGAGGGGGGTTCAGCCAGCTGCCGACTGCCGCCGCATGGTGGTACTGTCGGTACTCGCTGACACCTGCGCCTCCGTTTCAGAGCTGAAGGAGCAGGAGGACGAGGCCACGCTAAAGTGCGAGCTCTGCGGACTGGTGGACTTCGCTTATAAGTTCAAGAGGTCGAAGAGGTTTTGCTCCACGTTGTGCGCAAAAAGGTAAAAATACATTTGCCAGATGCTAATTGCTGCATTTTTATGGTCACCTGTGTTTTGCAATGACATCAACATCAGTGCTAGCAGACATGTCTGAATTAGCTTTTTTGGGACAAATTTTGTATGAATCCCATCTTGTTGATCTAAGAAGTCTGAGGTGTATCGGAGGGTTTTATATTAGATATTTTGGATCTAACGACTGTTCACGTTGATGGATGAGCGATACATTGTTTATCTAAATACCCCCACACCCTGGCTCAGGTATAACGTCGGCTGCACCAAACGAATGGGTCTTTTCCATCCCGACAAAAGAAAGACAGAAAAGCACAAAAAGCGCCGATCGCGGAGCAGCAGCCTGCAGAGTCTGAGCAGCGAGGCCAAGAAGCAGGTAAGGAGCCTCCAGGGGGCGTAGCGGCTAAGGAGTTGGACCGTGGAGGCTGGGGGTTCAGGCGCATAACTGAATGAGGGGTGAGTTGAGTGCAGGGCTGTTTAATTCCTCTCCGCTATATGCTGGCTGGCAGGATAACGGCATTCATTTCGGAGCACGTTGCATTTGATGAGACTGGATCTGAGGTGCTGTTTGCGTGTTCCAGGCTCCAGCCCCACCCCAGCCCTCCCTGGTGGGGTCTGTGACCTCCCCTGTGCCCCCTCAGCCCGGACAAGGAGAGTCTAGCCCCTGCTCCGACATATCCAGCTATGGGGAGGCCCCTTCGCCCTTGTCTGCTGCCAGCTTAGGGCCCCCCCGACCCGCGGCGGAGCGGGCGCAGGACCAGGGGGCGAGCCATGGCAGAGAGCTGCCCTTCCTCATGCAGCACTTCCTGCCCAGTGACCCCACCAAGTGGAATGTGGAGGAAGTGTACACCTTCATACACTCCCTCCCAGGTTAGCCCTGCTCAGCATCTTCAGTCACCCTGAAAATAAGATTTTGGAAATGTTTCCATTTACCGTCTTTTTCTATAAAAGCCGTTTTTAAGGATTATTTAAAATCCCTTGTGTGATGGATGGTGTCTGGATCTCCAGGCTGCCAGGAGATTGCAGAGGAGTTCCGCTCGCAGGAGATCGACGGCCAGGCTCTGCTCCTGCTGAAGGAGGACCACCTGATGAGCACCATGAACATCAAACTCGGCCCGGCGCTCAAGATCTACGCCCGCATCAGCATGCTGAAGGACTTCTAGCTCTCCTGGTGGGGCGGGTGTGGGAACCTTCTCGCTGGTTTGGCACGGGGGGGGGGCACCTCCACCCACAGCGACTTGGCTCCCGGCAGATTGCCGGGAAGAGCCTGGGATGTCCGTTGGCTGTGGGTCTTCAGAAGCCAGAAGGATGGATGCCCATCAGTTGGGGGTGGTAGATGTGGACCTACTCCACAGGGCAGGACCTGCAGGTGCCAGAGCCCCCGGAGATTACAAAGGAGAGGGGCGGACTGAGAGACGTCCACGCAATATGCAGCCCAGTGGTTTAAGTTCAGTTAAAAGAACTAAAAGGACAAATGACTATTCATATATATATATATATTATATATAAGCCATTTTGTTCAATATGACAAATGGAGATGGCCTGTTGGTTCATCTATAGATAGGGTTTCTTATAATTGTAATATATATATGCTTGTGTTTTTCAAATGAAACTTTGGTTTATATGGTTATTTTTGGTCAATTATATAAAAGTGTTTTTTCTAAATGTATTCATTTGTAAAGTTTGTTCAAGAGATTGCAAACGAACAGCCTGACAAATGTTTGATGGTGCCCGTACTTAATGGGTGCTTTCCAGTTTCTCCATTGGAAATGGAATTATATTCTTCTGCAGAATGTTTATTCCATCACCCAGGTATCTGCACGCTCCACAGACACATAGAATGATATGGGGTCACAAGTGCTGGGTCACTACAGCCACTGTCAGCAAGCAGGAAAACCAGGGAAAAGTCCTGCCTTGGTCCCTTGTGAGTTGTGGTTGAATGATTTATAAAGAAAGCTCCTTTGTGCTTTTACAGGAAAGGAAGAAAGTGTATCATGCATGATGGGGTTTGTAAACACTACCACTACCTGCCTCCCCGCGCCCGCGTGTGCGTGTCCTGTACATACCCTCGGTTGTTTGGCATGTGCTGTTCCATGTGAACCGGGCGACTGTGTCACAGAAAGCCATGCTGAAGTCCTTCACCCACCATCTGGTGGAACTTCCAAGCAAACAGCTTGAAATTTTGATGGGCCGGAGATCCGCGTCGTCAATATTCATGAGGTTATTTATAAATATGCCAAGGATGATTGTGTAAAGTACCTCTAGAGTCCTGGTAACCTTCTACGTTTCCATGTCGTCAGTTTCTCTGATTTCTTCAAAAAATTCACTTACCTACTTACACTGCCTGTTCTGCATCAGAAATTTATTTCCAGGATACTTCATATGTGAATCAGATTGTTTAATTTCTGTGGTTTCTTAGCTTATTTTGGGGATAGTCCTGGTAATTGTCACTATTCGCTAAAGTACTACTGAATATACACGCTTCATTCTGTTATAAAAAATCTAATGTTCAATTCACATCTGATTTCACCAGCCAACTTAATCTTGATATTGGAAGATAGTTGTACTGGAAATAAGGGGATATGTTCAAATGGATAACAGAAAAAGGGGCAGTTTACAAAGCCTTTTTCCCCGTGACTAAGACTGCAGCCCAGCACGGTCCCTGCCTTTTTCCCGTAGGTGACCTCTGACTTTTCCTGTAGGCAAAGTTAATAAACACGGCGTCACTAGGAAATAATGTGACTGCTACTGTTCAGTGGAAGGAAGCGCTATTCTGGAATGTCTCTGCTGCCCATTTTATTGGGATGCGCCTTGTTTCAGATATCCTGGTCTTGCACTTTCTTTTGGGAAAGATATTCCCAAATTTTGAATTTTGTTTCTTTGACATAGGTCATGTGCACTGGACGAGATTAATGGTGTCAAATTCTAAAGCAGGTTAGCAGATAGAATTCACTTTTGGGGCTCGTGACCATTTTACAGCACTCAACCGTTTAGCAGTTAGTATGATTAACAAAGAGGATGAAACCTGCTGGGACATATTTTGCAAATCAAGTTTCTTACTACATTGTGTAAATGTGTCACCTATTAATGAAGGTTTGAGCACTAAAAAGAGTATTAGCACCTGACAGTACATACACTATATGGACAAAAGTATTGGGACACACCCCTTAGTCATTTAATTCAGGTGTTTCATTCAGACCCATCGCAACAGGTGTATAAAATCAAGCACCTAGCCATGCAGTCACAAACATGAATTCAATCAATGAATCAAGCATGGTACTTAGGGATGCACTGATACTGTGCTCATATACTCATACTCGTAAGAATACTCCAGTACCAAGAACCGATACCACTTAATTGCAACATTATGTTAAAACTGAAAGCTGCAGCATTGTATTTATTTGCTGCCCAATCAGATTTTGGCATCTAGCGAGAGATATGTCAAATGTATTGGTCTGGTTATGCCAGGTTAGGTCATTAATATTTTGGTATAAATACTGCCTTAAGTACTCATATTGGCACTCAGTATCGGCAAGTACACAAATGTAAGTACTCATACTTGGTCTGGAAAAAAAATGGTATTGGTGCGACCCTAGTGGTACTGGCACAGGATGGCATCTTTGCAATAAGTCAATTGATGAAATTTCTTCCCTGCAAGATATTCCGTGGACAACTGTAAGTGGTATTATTGCACAGTGGAAGCATTCAGGAACAACAGAAACTTCAGCACCAAGTGGGACACCATGCAAAGCAATGGAGTGTGATTACAGAGTGCTGAGGTGCATAGTGCCTGAAAGCAGCCAGTGCAACTGCAGGCTTCCAAACTTCCTTTGGCATTAACTCCAGCACAAAAACTGAGTGCAGGGAGCATCATGGAATGGGCTTCCATGGCCGAGCAGCTGCATGCAAGCCTCGCTTCAACAAGCACAACGCCAAGCATCGGATGGAGTGGTGTAAAGGACGCCAAAACTAGACTCTGGAGCAGTGGAAATGTTCTGTGGAGTGATGAATCACAGTTCTCTGTCTGGCAGTCTGATGGATGAGTGAGTTTGGCAGATGCCAGAACGCTATCGGTCTCACTGCAGTGTGCCAGCTGTAAAGTTTGGTGTAGGAGGGATAATGGTATGGGGTTATTTTTCAGGGGTTGGGCTAGACCCCTTAGGTCAGTGAAGGCATGGCTGTGCCTCAGTGCACAAAGCAAGGTTCATAAACACATCGTTGGGTGCGTTTGGTGTGGAAGAGCTCAACTGGCTTGCACAGAGCTCTGATCTCAATGCCAACACTTTTGGGAGGAACTAGAATGGAGACAGCAAGCCAGACCTTCACACTCAACATCAGGGTCTGATCTCACAAATGCTTTTCTAGAATAATGGGCAAAAATTGCCAGGCAAACTCCAAAATCTTGCGGAAAGCCTTAGAAGAGTATCAGCAGTTATAGCTGCAAAGGGGGGGATCAACTCCATACTGATGTGTACGGATTTAGACTGATGTCAGGTGTTCCAATGCTTTTGTCCATATTAACACTCCATCCTTCAAAAGAGCTGTCAACTCCAGCTCATGCTCAACCCCCCCCCCAAAAAAAGGTAAGGCAAACAGCTGTTTTACAGAAGATACAGTAAAAATGCCGCACAGCACATGACAGTATTTGGACACATGGCAACTGAAGTGGTCTTTGAAGGCTCCTTGACCTTGCGATGTCCCTGTATAGCGATTCTTCACATTTTTGGACTGGTACCTGTTTCAGCATTTCACACAGTAACAATGTAGACGATCTGCACTCTGCCCTTTGTGTGTGTACAATAGAAGCTTCACAAAACATTTGCAAGGACACCAGAGGACCTGTGATAAACAAAAAGTACATTCAGAAAAACAGCACTTTGTTAAAATCGCTTCCGAATTAGCCATCTTTGAAGCACATTAACCGTGTTTATAATTACTACTGTGCTGAATGTGTTCTTTTTCATGAACGGCTTGAGGAATTAATAACCCTCCATGAGACCAAAGATTATACAGGTCAAACGTATTACCATCTTTAACCAAGCAAAGCAAAAGCTATTCTAAATTTCCAGCAGGTCAAACCAGTCTGACTCCAGTCTTTGACATCATTTCCAGTCTTTGACATCAAGCCACATCCCAACCACCTCATTTGTAAATCACTACAGAGTATCAGAACGTGTTTCGTCTGAAACACTGGGGGCCCCAGCAAGAGGAGAAAATGTCACCGCTGGACATGGCTAAGAACAAGTATGGGCTACTGCTTACCTTCCGTGCTTTACACGGCTACACAATTTAATTAGTCCATTTTCAAACATGCTGATGGGGGCTGTTTCGGTGAAAAGTGTTACCCCGACCAGATTAGTGCCAAGCTGCAGCAGGCCATCCAACACTAATGAACAGCCATAGTCAGTTCCCTTCACAAATTTCTTGCCATACAGCATTTGGTCTTTGGATTCCATCAAAATCATTGCTGACCAAATTCATAACCATTTAAGCATCGGTGATCCACTCACCTACTTCTTACAGATGCACTCAAACCCTGTCAAGCACCCATAAATAAGCACGAATGCTTGCATTGATGTGTAAGACCAGTTATATTCAGTCATAAAGTCCTGAAGCATTCCGCAGCCAAAATGTAACGTTCATTTATACCGATCCTTTGTGTTAAATTTCCCACAAACATTTGTTACTGTCGCATATTTGCTGCTTAACTGTAGAATGAATTTATGCATAAAAACCCAACACCTTCCCATATCTGAGATTCCCTTAAGCACTGAATAAAAACCACCATCCCTAGTTGTTTTTTTAAATACTGTTTTTCTCTTTAATGTATTTACAAGCTTTAAATTTGCTTTAATTCCGAAGACCGATAAACACTTCAGGTTCAGCAACCTTATTTGATAGTGTTTGTTTTCATTTTTAATTTTTTTATTTTTATTAATTATTTTTTTACAAGTCGCTATACACTCATTTCCGTTGTAAGTAACATGGGTTGTTCATTTGCAGTTGTTTTGTTTCCAGGATGCCTTTTCTGCCTGTTTGGAGGAATATACACATTTCACAAAGAGCAAAGCGTAGTAGAAGCGGAAGGCGTTTTGGCTGCCAGCTGCTACCCTCCCCTTCCTACCCTCCCCTTCCTACCCTCCCCTTCCCTCAGCCTTCACCGCAACAGCAGCTCAATTTGTTCCTAACCAAACAGCTTGTGATTGGGGAGGCCGATCCGTAACGGTTCTCATTTTTCTAATCACCAGTATTATTTCTCAATCATACTTGAGGCCTGTCCATCCTCTCAGCATCTGCAAAAAGTTACAAGTCCTTATTTGCAGTCTTTAAAAAAATAATAAATTAAAGAGTTCAGAATCTATGTTTTATTATCTTTGATGCACAGAAATTGTATTTTCAAAGTCTTTTCTTAAAAAGTAACAAAAAAAGGCTTTAAAAAAATCTTAAATGAAATATTCTCTATAAATAATACACGTATATGATGCTCCAGCCAGCCCAAGTCAAGCGAGCTGCTGGTCGCCTTAGAGCCGTACCATACGATTAATGACGACCAAGCCCTCGCATCTCTGCATATTTTTGTTTTCCGTTGACAGGTTTCCGCGTTCATGGCTGAAGACTTGCTCTCTGCATCAGTTGTCCTCTGATTCCTCCTCTGCTTCCCGCAGCCAGGTGAAGAAGGCGGTGACTGATTTGAGGGCCACGCCCTTTCCCAGTTCCTCCGCAGGGTCCTTGCTAGTCTCCCATTTGTAGAAAGCATCCTCCGATATCACGTCCTCGTCGTAAAGACAGTCAAAGAACATCCGGAGCAAGTCTGAGGAGAGAGAGGAAAACATGATCCAGCAGGAACCCAATAATGACAACTAGACCTGAATTTTAGTTAAATTGTCAGGGAGGGGAGTTTCCCAACACTGATCTGCGGATGGGGTGGAGGGGATACTTACTGGGAGGCTGATCAAGTTTGACTATCAATGCTTGAAGTGCATAAAGTGCTTGAAGTTGCCGTTCGGTATCTGAGTTAAGGTACTTGAGTAACACAGGCAATCTCTTCTGAATAATAGTAGTGTCCACTCTGCAGGAAGTGCTCTCCCCTAAAAGAAAGCGTGCCACACACATGCACTGTTTTTAATAAAGAATCATCATCAATCATTACGAACGGCAATGCAGGATACTTCAAAAACAAAAGTAGTGCTGCAGCTTTGGATAAAGGCAATTACTACACAATACGACCAACTGCTGAATTGCTCTTCTCTTAATGTATTTTAATTTCATTCTACTGTAAAGGAACAGCAACCAAATTTAAACCAGAGCACTTAATTTACGGTGCTATCAAAGTGCTTTAAAAACCACATGATCGGTTATGCTACAATCCCATCTGTAACGTGAGCGTTATAGTGGCTTGATGTTACATAACAGCTTCAGGGCTATAGACCCAAACCTGGCCCAGTCTATGCATGGATCCGCACTGGGTATTCCACTCACTGACCAGGGCTAACTGTATGGTACTGATTTTCCTTCAGTAAGACCGTACCTCCCTGGGCAGGAGCATAGCTAGGGGGTCATCACCCTGTGACCAAGCATGCGATTCTCAGGGACAGCTGGATCTCAGTGAGGCCCATCATCTCTACACCACAGCAGCGTGATGTCATGAGGCAGCACGTGACCCCATCGGCGGCCAGGCTAAGCAGACGCCGAGACACTAACCTTTCACTGCAGCCTTGCACACGGCTGTCATTAAAGCTCGAAGGAATGCAGGCGAACTCATCTGAGACTCATCCAAATTTGCCTGCAATACAAAGACAATAAAGTCGAAAAGTCAACAGAGACAGGACACACACACAAGCTGATTTTCCTATCCAGTCATTTCTATGGGAAAAACCATAATCCCAATCACGACACCCTTAACCTCTACCCAGCCCTAACCTTAACCATAAGTAACCAACCCAAGTACAAGACTTTTGGCATTTTTACTTTTTTGATTACAGTCACAGATTTTTATAAAACTGAGGCTATCCAAATGGGGCCTCAAAAGATGTCCCCAAAATTAGGGAAATATCAGGTTTTACTATACTTTGGGGACAATTTCACACACACACACACACACACACACACACACCCACACACACACAATTATGGCACATGGCAGTGCTTAGAGGCATCACCAAGAATTTATATCACGGTATTTTTTAAGATTCTTGTTGTTTCACAATGCATCAAAATATTTTTCTCTTCCTTCAGACTCACCCTTACCTTGGCACCAAGCATTTACATCAATAAAATACATTTCTGAATGTTTTCAAATGTATTTCAATAATTGTAAAAAATAATTTACATTTAGCTTGATATAACCAACATGCTTTATTTGATAATGTTTATTCAGCTTGATAACATTTTGTTGACTATAACCGTGTACTTGGCTTGATAAGAATTGTTTCACTGACATACATTATTAATCTAATAAACATTTAGCTAGACTGCAATATGTTTTATTGATTATAATGGTATATTTAATTCCACAGAGAAGTTTCATTGATTCTTCCCTTATATTTAGCTTGGGAACAACATGTTTACCTGGCAATTTTAATAATGACAGATAAATTGATATTAGGGATTTCGCTTCACTGATATGATTTTAATTGCAGACCTAATTACATTGCATATAATCCAAATTTTCAGGTACTGACTGAAGCAGTAGCTATGAATATTATAATGCTGAACTGTGGTATAGGGAGAATTGTGCTATAAAGTTATGACTTAGTAAGAAGGGTTACCCACAGTTAACAGTGAATTTGCTGCCTACTGAAGCAGAACAGCTGTTTCAGTAGGGCAGTATATGAGAAAATCATACAGTATGGGAAATTATAACCAATTCACAGACATACTAGGTAAACAGCCATACCTCTACCCAGTCAAAGATTTGCTCGTCACCCGCCATGTCCTCAATGAGCAGTTTTTCAAGTCGCAGACTGAGTTCCTCAGCCGAAAGCTCTCCCTTCAACAGGGCTTCTGTGGGACTGGAACAGTCCGAGATGGTGAATTCTAATTTCTGTTTGGGAGGAGGAAGAGGAGGAGAAGTCAGCACGGAAGCATCCGGGGCAGGGATCTGACGGCAGGATGGGGCGGCATGCGGCTTACGTGGTCAGCGATGAAGTCGCGAACGTCCTCTCCCTCGGGCAAAAGCTCCGCCCAGCTCAGGCTAGATTCCCCCCACAGGGATCCCACTTTTTTATGGCTCTGTGGCAGGGCAGATGTTTTTCATGATGTTTGTTAAATTACAAAAACTTATTTGATCGTAAGCTACATTTAAACACAAACTGGAGTGGATGCATAAATCAAGCACTTACCATTTGTTTGCATAGAAGGTGCAATATTTCAGAAAATAATATCCCAGCTCTTCCCACAGGAAGCAAATGTCTGCTAAATTCACTGCAGGTAAACAGAGAATTAATTGTAAAGATCATTAGCATCATTTGAGCAGAGGCAGGGCAGCGAAGGAGCGGGGCAGAAGGGACGGTAGAGGCAGGGCAGCGAAGGAGAGAGGCAGGAGGGATGGTAGAGGCAGGGCAGCGAAGGAGCGGGGCAGGAGGAACAGCAGAGGCAGGGCAGCGAAGGAGAGAGGCAGGAGGGATGGTAGAGGCAGGGCAGCGAAGGAGCGGGGCAGGAGGGATGGTAGAGGCAGGGCAGCGAAGGAGAGAGGCAGGAGGGATGGTAGAGGCAGGGCAGCGAAGGAGAGAGGCAGGAGGGACGGTAGAGGCAGGGCAGCGAAGGAGAGAGGCAGGAGGAACAGCAGAGGCAGGGCAGCGAAGGAGAGAGGCAGGAGGAACAGCAGAGGCAGGGCAGTGAAGGAGAGAGGCAGGAGGAACAGCAGAGGATGGGCAGCGCAGGAAAAAGGCAGGAGGAACAGCACTGTCCCCCATAGCGCTAAGGTGCTTATCCCATCCAGGAACTGACAAACTTGCATTTGTTTAGACCACGTGCATACAGACGTTTGGCTCTGCATAAACTCCAATGTATGGCACACGTCAGTGGCATGTTTTTTAAAGCACCTGCAGAATCGGAGTCTGCTAGCCAGAGAGAATCACACGTCACATGCATGCACATGCAGACGGACGGCGGCCGGCGGTGCAGACTCCCCACCTAAACACCTCCCTCAGGGAAATGGCACCGGCTCGGAACATAGGGTTGAGCAGCTCGGCCAGGTACAGCCAGATGTGGGGGATGTCGATGGCCATGTCATCTGCCACCTCCAGGGTTTCTGCAAACCTGCGGGTCAGAGGAGGCCACGGCGATCAGTGACACGCAGCACGGCTCCGCGGACGTCACACGAGCACGGGCACCTCTCTACGGACGGCTGAGTGGAAGACGGGCCGGCAAACTCACCCTTTGAAGAAGTGGACCTTGGGGAGGGCCCCAGTGTTGACCAGCTGGAAGAAGAGCTGGCCCATGTGATCGCGGGTGATATAGCTGCGCTCCAGCGTGGACTCAACACCCACCCTCACAAAGACATGGAGCTGAGGGCCCTGCTCCAGCTCAGTGACACACTGCACCGCCTCCTGCAGACAGACACACACACACACATCAGCAGGGAGGTCCCAACATCATAAATGAGTAGACAGTAAGATTCATGTGTCATTTAGCAGGGGGACACTTACCTTGTAATCATTAATGTGCAAAAACTCATCAATGATCGATCGGCATCTTCTCTCCATCTCCTCCTCTGACAGGAGAGCCTTGTCTTGAGAAGCCTCAGGTTTCACTGCAGCACCATGGCCTACAGAAGAGAGACAGACACACTGATCAGTGCTGCAGACACAGACACTACGAGCTCAAAGGCAAATTCACTCCACACCTTGTATCTGACAGTTAGCACTGTTGTTTTGGGACATTTCAACATCGACTGACATCGACTACACGCAATACCCCAAAATGAAAGAGGTGAAAACATACTTTTAGAAATTTTTGCTAAATTGATTGAAAAAAATCCTGTCAGTCTGCAGTTCACTGTCGCTTTCCCAATTCCTGCTCCATGCCAGGCTTGGAATTCAATTTCAGCCCGGTCATTAAGTGCCATGAGAAAACCTGCAGATGCGCAGTGTCAAGCCTAATACTCAGGACCGGCTTCCCCATGCTACCACAGAGACCGGCAGTGCTGCAGGCACACATGCCCTTTGTGCTAGTTCACCAATCTTTAGACAGGATCTCCAAAGCTCTTACGATGATGGAGGCCAGTGTACTCCTAGGAACTGTCAATGCACCGTCTTCATTTTCCAGTTCTACACACTGATACAACCCGACTTCAGAAGTCTACTTAAAGGTCCTTGGGAAACCAGCGACGGTATAAAGACTAAAGTGTTTGTCGAAACAACTGGACTGTCCACAGAAGGGCTACAATCAAGTTACTACAGCTGACGCAAAGAAAGTGAATGAATGCATCTCAGTCTCTAGTGTCACAGAAAAGGGTCGGAGTACTAAACAGGGAACGTCAAGCTTACAATAAATTTGCAAAAATACCTAAAATCCTGCTTCCACTTTGTTATGGGGTATTGTGTGCTGATAGTAAAACAGTGATTAATCCAACCCAATTTGAAACCAGCCAACAAGGCAGAGCCTGGACAAGGAAAAGGGACTGAAGTACTTTTTGAAGGTCCTGCATGAAAGCAGAAGCGAGGCCTCCCCCCCCCCTCACCTGCTTCCCTGGGGGGCCTCCCGCTCTCCACATCAGCCTTCTCCCCTACAGTCAATGCAGCAGGAAGCCTGGGGGCGGCCGGCGCGTCCCTGACCGGCTCCTCCGGGACCGGGCTCTCTGCCGGCTCCTTTCCCCCGCTGCCCCGGGGGATGGGGGTCACCCGCGCAGCCACTGTCGCTGTCGGACTCGACACCTTGTCGCTGCGTTCGCGTGCAGAGCTGCGGCTGAGAAGAAAGGGAAGGACGCCTCAGGTCAAGCCAACGCATCTCCGTAGCGGTTCATGCAGGTGTTTACCATGGCCACAAGGGCCAGAAATGCAATGATGCATTCAGCACGTCAACTACTAAGCAGGATACCGACTATTAGAAAGCAGCCAATAGATGTATCTCAATACTTTCTGTCAAGGTATCTGTAACCAGCTATGGTTCTCCAGACCACCTTCAGACAGGAAGGCTTTGCCTTGTTTCAGGTGTTGCTCCATCAGCTACACCACAAGGACAGCTTTATAAAAAATTTTAAATTTTGCAATTAGTTTTTCTTATTCCAGTCACCAATAGCAAGTACCTCTCACAATCCAAGAAAAAATTAAAATCAAAAAGGCAAGAAAAGTGGCTTTTAATTATGTGCACTCCTAACCCACATCTGCCTTTCCTGCTCCGTTGTCATGTGATTAAAGCATGGATCAATACAGAGCAGTGTTGACAGATCGGGAGGGTTTTGTCAAATCAGTGTGTTGGAAAACTCTTCATGCTATCTGGCAACCTGTTGCAGAGAATATGGAGCCCCGGAAGGGGCACTGGTGGTGGTGGGGGGGGGGGGCTGGGATCAATGGTTAGGAAAAAAATGGCGGTGGGATGGACTTCTGAGAGATCCTGTAATACTTCTCCGTTACCATTAATAACTGCACAGTGCTCATTTAAAATGCAAGATACAATTTTTTTTATGGACGAACTATGTTGGAGTTAAGGTTTAAATCAAACCCGCTTTCTGGAATATTTCAGTATAGATCTGCATACCCCCACAAACATCATCAAGCGAGAATACCGGGGAGCTAAACCCGACAGCGGCTTTGATGACACTGTAATGCAGTTAGCTTTATACGCAGTTTCCTTCTGTAATATCTTTCAACAAATGCAAGCAACACCCATTTTCCATATTTCTTTACCAGCGAATTTTAATTAATATTTCAATGTTTGTGCGTGCACTTCACGTTCAATAGCCCAGCTGTCTTGCTTACATGTTGCATATTATATATTGCATATTTCTGTCATTTATGATGTCATTATGTATATGAATGCGGAAGGCAATAGCAGGCGGATCAGATAGCTCAGATAAGAGGAAGAAAAGGCAGAACGGAGACTAAATGTGCCATGTAAGTATTTGTCATTTATTTCACATTTGGCATGTGATGGAGATGCTCCTAAATGTTTTGGGTTTGGGAGCCAATGGCTCCTAAAGTTTTGTTTTGTTTTGGCCCTGCATCTCTTTAGTTTCCTTCGGGATCAATAAAGAATGAACGAACCAACAAGCGAATCTATCCATCCATCCATCTATCCCCCCCTTTCTCGGGACAAGCAGCAGTATGATTATACCTGCACCCTCCAAAACCAGCCTTCGCCTTGCCAGCGAGGCCGGCCCAGTCGGGCCTCAGTGCCCGCGGGCGACGCCACGTTACCTGCTGAGGCTCCTCCGGGCGTCGAGGTCTGGCGTGAGCGAAGGTGAGGAGCTGGGTGGCGGGACGGAGGCCTGGGGCAGGGAGTACCGGTTCAGGCTGCTCGCACTGGAGCGCGACTCTGATGTGGGAGGGCGGGGCCGTGTTAAAATGCTGAGCAGCTTTGGCAACACTCTTCAATATGTAACTGCAGACAGCAGATGGCGTCGTTTCCTCCGATCTTAATTAGTGCTGTTAGAGGGGCCTGAATGTCCCTCCTCCCCCCCCCAGGCACAGCTCACCTGATTCTGTGGCTTTGGCCCCTGCTCCTCCACTGCTGCCCTTCACCCAGCTGAGCGGAGCCCGCGGCCCCAACTGGATCTTGTCATCTATCGTTGGCTGGGGGGAGAGAGAGAGAGAGAGAGAGAGAGAGAGAGAGAGAGAGATTATGCTGCTGTGTTCCCCCTTCTCAAAGAAAAAAATACCTGCTTCCTTGTCCCCTACAGCCCTGTACCAAGGTAAATAGTCCTACAAGCCCACAGAATATGCTTCTGTGTAATTACACTACACAATACTGCTCCCTGTGTTACACATTGCAGCTTCTGCATGTTAATACAATCCCTTCAGGACTAACTAGAGCAGGGGTCTCCAACTCCGGTCCTGGAGAGCTACTATCCAGTAGGTTTTCTATCCTACCTGGCTTCTGTTGAGCCTCACCTGTTCTCAGGTAAATACCAGGAGCAGGTGTGGCTCATCAGAAGCCGGGTATGATAGAAAACCTACTGGATGGTAGCTCTCCAGGACTGGAGTTGGAGAGCCCTGGACTAGAGACAGTGGGGTACTGCGCAGTGCCACCTGTCTGTCATCTTAGAGACAGTGGGGTACTGCGCAGTGCCACCTGTCTGTCAGCTTAGAGACAGTGGGGTACTGCGCAGTGCCACCTGTCTGTCAGCTTAGAGACAGTGGGGTACTGCGCAGTGCCACCTGTCTGTCAGCTTAGAGACAGTGGGGTACTGC